TGGCGGACCGAGGCAGAAGAGCCGCCTTGATCCTTGCCTTTAGGTAAATCTTCGCCGCTACCAAGCCCAGAAGGGCCTTGCGGGTTATGGTTCGGAAATGGAGAGAGATCTGAGTTCTGGCCCGGGTTCAGATCAGCGTAAAGGTCTAGGATCCGAGAGATTAAATTTAGGTCCAGATCTGTGTTTTCATCTGTGTTCTGAATTGGGTTCAGACCTGGGTCCTCCGGGCCGTTGGTTCCAGCAAAGTCAGAAACGTCAGGGAAGCCTGGCTGGCTACCAGGCCCAGAAGGTCCTTGCGGTTGAGTTGGAGGGAAGTTTGTTGGGCCCTCGGAGCCATTCTCCCCAGGAAAGCCAGGAACGGCAGGGAATCCTGGCTTGCCTGGCTTGATGCCAGGCCCAGAAGGACTTCCCGGGATTTGACCCGGAGTTTGAGGGCCATTCGGGCCCTGGGGGCCGTTACCTCCAGGAGCACCAGGGAATACTGGGCCATTATCAGACCCGGAAGGACCTCTGGGATTTCCATCCGGGATTTGAGGGCCCTTTGGGCCCTGGGGAGTCTTAGGGGGGGAATTTTGGCCCCTTATCGGAGCTTGCTTCTCCTTTACGCGCCGGAGCGCTACCTGGCGCATCTGCTGGGATTGAGCTTGACTGAATTCATACTGTTTTCCTGGCCTACAATGCGCCGTGTTAGTCGTCCACTTGAATTCTCTTGGAGGAACGGGAGAAAAGAGGATGGGGGGCCTTTTACGTGACAAATGGCTCCATGACGTTCCCGGTGCCGCTGCCTCTTTGTCGTCCAAAAAGGCGTCCAAATGGCCCATTTAAATGTCGTCCAGGTCTCTGCGCCTGACCTCCTTGTTCTACATGTTCAAGACCGAGCCAGTGGCCCGTCTCGTGCGTAGTTGTTATCAAGAGCCCGATTGGATTTGCCCCATCACCCTCGCTTCTGGACGATCCGATTGGATTTGCGCCATCACCCTCGCTTCTGGACGACAGAAACTCGCTAACATCATCGCCTCTAGATGGAGAGTTGCTACCGTTGCTTTTGGGCAGAGTGTCCATAGCGACGGCGCATCCGTCAATACTACCAACTGTCTGGGAAATGGGGGCGCTGGGTGGCGGCAAAATGCACTTGCCCTTAGTTCCGGCCCCCTGGTTTGTCGGCACGTATACAATGTTGAGGGTGCTCGTGTTGCCTTGACGAATCTCGGACTTCATCATATCAATAGCCTGGTCATTGTCTAAGCCAGCATTGCAGAGCCTGTTGCTAATGTGCGTAACATTTTCAAGGTTGAAATTTATCCCCGTCACCTTGAAAATCGTGTTCATTTGGTCAACGGTCTCTTGGGCGACGTCATTCTTTAGGTAACGTGTTAGCAGGATTTTGACATGAACTCTTGGAAGCGAGGCCTACAGAAGGACAGTTTTGGTTCCCGTTGCAGCAGAAATGCATGACGAAGCCCAAGTTAATGGGTCCTCCGTGATCAGGCTGAGGGGCCTGCCGCTTCAGCAGCTCGCTCTCCTCCAGGCTGAGGCTCCGAGTACCACAATAATGCCCAGACGGACTTCTGCTATGTATGGTACCAGCCATAGACTCTGAAGCCATCAGGCCGGAGATAAGAAAAGGTAGCATCAGCATCCTCACGGTGTTGAAAGCATGTATGGAAAGAGAGCTAAGAAAGAAGTAGTCTCTTGGACCTGCGTATTCCGAGTCCAGCATACTGTCGATGAGACAAGACACCGGCTTCTTAAATATGTCAAAAGACAACGATTAACAAACTCGATTAACACAGCCCTGGCATTGAAGAGGTGATCCGTTTTTGGAGCTAGCAAAGCACTACATCGGAGGATATATTAGTTTTGTTGATGCTTGCTTCAGAGTTCAGCTGCTTGAACATCAAGCCTGGCTACATAATACGGTCCACCTAGTCTAATAGGCATGAATTTGGGATCCAGAGTGTGGTTTCAAAGACGCGGTGGAGATCTCTTCACTTTCTGCAGCGAACTCATCAGATCGCCAGGGCTTGTCACTGAATCGTACAGCATGGAAATTATCCCTGTGATTCTGTGTTATCCACGGAGAAGGATTCTCCGGGAGGGACGCAGCTTATTGTTAGATTCTCAGTAACTACAAAATGTGAAGGTTGGCCAACCACCCGAACCCCGCAACAGCCACGCGGGTTTGGTGGATTGGCTTCTTTGGCAGTTACGAGGAAGCAACTGTCTTGCTTGAGCGTGTGGCTTGTTTGTTCGACTGAT